GGCTGATCCTTGGCGCCTGTTCATTTGAATGGCCCAGTTAACTAGGTGTAGTATGAGGGCTCCTGCGCGAGGGGCGTTGGCTTTGGTGGCCCCGCCTGAGGTCCCAAACTTGTCGCAGGAAGAGTGTGATGTGGTGCGGGGGGAAATGTTTTCGCGCCGCGAGGACGCGGTGGTTGGCCCGGAAGTGGCGACCGACGCCCGGCTGGGGGAAATGGGGGAATGCGAGAGGTGAAGTGAGTAATTGCGAGATGTGCGGCCTATCATTCAGCGTAGTGCATCCCCGTCCCTAGCGGCGCAGTGACTTCGCGGCATAATTTAGGTCAGCGGTTTTTGAGACTATATCTAAGCATATAGGTGGTTTTGCCTTACGCATCTGCGAAACAAGTCCTTTATCCTTCTCTTTGGTCCTCCTGGGTCGCCCCCCCCGAAGGATTGCTCGCCATCGGACCCAGACTGCCTAGTCAGGAGAGCAAGAGAGACGATCCATCTCCTTCTGCCTGGCGTTTCATCGCAGTGCGCGGGGAGCACGCAGAGATGGCTTTCCGTCCGGCGCTCTATATTCTTCCGCCGGGCACGACTGCGTTCGCCGACGCCGTGATCGCTTCTGCTCCATCTTCGACGGGCCAGACGGAACCCGGTCGCATCCGTGACCTGCTGTTGTGGGCGCTGAGACACAGGTCCGCAGCGTTGATGAATTCTGGCGGATGGGTGCCCGTGCTCTTGTTGACGAAGCAACCTGGGGGGGGGGGGGGGGCGCGTCCGAGAGCCCTCGCCCTGGTGGTCGCATCTCCGTAATGTCCGCCGTGGGATTTCGAAATGTTGACCTGTCCGGCGAGTTTGGGTGCTCGGCGTCTGATGGAGGGCGCCTCGATGGAAGGCGAGGAGTGGTGTCCGGTATCGAAGCGCTAAGGGAGTATCCGATGCAGAAGAGGGGCAGGTGATCTTCGCGGAGTGGTGTTTGCTCTTATCGTAGAAAAGTTTTGGCGGGGCATTTTTCCATTTCCGCCGGTCGTCGGTGCCGAGCTGCGTGGCGGGGCGAAGCGCGCGCGTTTTGGCGCCGCGAAGCGGTCGCCAGAGGGCGAGTTTCTACCGCGTTGCCCGCTGCCCAAAGGCGCCGAGAACGCCGAATGACCTGGGCGCCGCGGCCTCGCACGGGGGCTCTGTCGCCAGTGGGGGCGAGCCGAAATTGCCTGCTCAGGGAGAGCGCGGCGGGGCCATTAGTGGGGAGTTTCAGTGCAAAGCGTGGCTGAACGCGGACGAGACAACTGCGGGTGGCATGCTTGCTCGTCGCGCGTGACGCCGGGGCCGTGGCGACGCGCGAGTCCAAGTTGGCATTGCGCGGGGCCCTTATCGCGACGGGCTGCCCCGCTTTCGTTGAAGCCGTGGGCGTCGTCGCGACATCGTGCCGCGATGGGGGGCCGACGTGGCCTGGCGGCCGATGCGCGATTGCTCGGTGTGTTGGGGCGGAGAAAGCGTCTGGCTGCGCAGGTTTGCAACGTGAAAAGGGGAATCCTTGAAATTCCGAGGTGCCTATGCCGAAATCGACCTGGTCGCGCTGGGCCAGTTGTCGTCTGTTCCTGGGGAGGCGAGCCGCATTTTGTCGACGGCTGTCTTCGGCCGAGCCAGCAGGGTGTGATGTCGTGCCTGCGCGGCCGCGGGGTGGCGTGCAGGGGCGAGAGTCGGCGCCATATGGCAATGGGGTATCACTTCAAGGCATGCTGACCTCTGCACAAGGAAGCGGCGTCCCAGACTTTGTCCAGGGTGCTGCTGGGGCACTCGGGTCCACGCTCGCAGACGGGCCAGTCTCGGAGACCCGGTTAGAGACTGGGGCCGAAGGCCCAGCGCCAAAGAAAGTCCAAACCACATTTGGCACTTGCTATCAGAGTGCGCAAGACCTGAGCCAGAAAAAAAAGCGGGTCCACCAAGAGCTATGGGCCTCTTGTTGTGGTGCCTGGCATGCCGAGGCCTTGGAGGGAATGGGCTGCGATGGCGTCGCGGCTTTTGGTTTTTGGCGTGGGCCTCTGAGGGCGAGGATAGCGGGGCCCCGGCGTGCCCCCTATCGTTCGTGCAGAAGATCAGGAAACTGATTGTGCAGATGCAATCGCACGTGGCTTTCAAGCCCATCCTGCCGCCTGAGGATGCGCTGGGCTGGTATTCCCGAGCTGTGTTCTGCCCGGTTGCCGGCCTGGATGTCGGGCCGCTCGGCGTGCTTCATTGGGGCGTGTTGTGGATCCCGAACATGGCCGATGCGGTAGAACTGGGCTGTGATATGGAGGTTTGGGAGTATTCCAGTAAGTGCGGTATGGATTCCAATGATTTTCTCAGACTTGCTCAAACGAACAGGACCGAAGTTGGACTTGCTAAACTTGCGACTGCGCGTTTAAGTGCGCTCGAGTTTGAGAAAGTCAAGAGGCATCAGGGCATTGAGCTTGCCACCGAGCAGAGTAGAAGGGGCGTCGTGGAACCCTCCCCAATGCGAGTGATCGGCTGCGCCCCCAGCTCTGGGGAAATTTGGTTTGAGCTTTGCAAGTGGCCTCTGGCCGATTTCAGGGTTCGTCCTCGCCGAGCTGAATCGCGAAAGGCCCCTCGAATTTACTGTGAGGCCCCCCAAGCGATTTTGAATGCCTAAGAAGGTGCTCTGCACCTGGTGCTCTGCAGCTGGACTTTGCGGCGGGTGCTCACGTGGCGAAGATAGCGGGGCTTGCGCTTGATGCGCGAGACAGGTCGCTGGCCTAAGGTAGAGAACATTGGACGCCTGATAACAAGGACTGGCTCTCCCGATCAATGTTTCAGTTTGTGGTGGGCGTCGCCGAGCGTTGTGGCGGTTCGCGCGGACTGATCCACGACGATGTGCTCAGCGAGTCCTCCAAAACGTACCTCGAATGGCATGTTTGGGAAATGCGTGGCGAGATCTGGGGAGGCATGCTTGCCGATGAGGCGATTTCTGACCTCGTCCCCGACAGTGCGGCCATGGAAAAAAAAATGTCGGACCAAATCGGACATCAAAGGGCTGCAAATATTCTCCAGACCCCAGAAGCGGGATTGGTGCTCGCAAGCGTGCGCAGATCCCAGGGTGCGATTACGAAGATGCGGGGTGCCATGGGCTCTCATGGCCGTCTGACCGTTGCAATCGTCATGCTCGTATTCCAAAACAGAGGACGATCGCCTCCATTGGCTGTGCTGGTTACGAGCCCGCCAGTGGATGACCCTTTCTGGTATGGGGGCGATTCGATGGCGGCTGGTGATCTAGAAACGATCGTCCCGCTCTTCGGCCAGGTCCGCGGCGGCTCCGCGCACTGGCCTCGCCCTAACCCCTTGGGCCGCCAGCGCGGCTCAGGTGCCGTGGCCCGGCGGGGGGGCGCTCCGGAGGGGCCGGGGCCAGCCTGCGGGAGCGCGCGGGCCCCAACCGCGGCGCCGCCGCCGTCCCTCCAGCGCGCCTCCGCATTCAGCGCCCTGCGCCCCGACAGCCGCACCGGCGGGCGTGGCGCGCAGCGGCCGCCGCGTCGCCGCGCGGCGCAGCGGGCGGGCGCCTGTGTCGCCCGCCTCATTAAGGAGCGGTCTTCTTGCGAACGCTGGGAAGGGGGAGGAAAAGGAGGATGTGGAGCCATGGAGGGCGAACGCCCCTCCGAGGCGGACCTTGGCCCGCGCCGTTTTTTCAATCGTCCATCCCTGTTTTTCCCTCCCTTTCCCCCTCGTGCTGCCTCCCCCTTCCTCTGCCCGTTTCCTCCGCCCTTTTCTCCCTTTCCCCGCTCTCCTCTTCCCTCCTCGTCTTGGCTTTTTTCTCCTCCTCCTCCTGCTTATCGCCTTGCTCCTCCTGCTTATCCTCCCGTGCCGGTCCCCGTCCCCCTTCCACTTCTTTTGCCTCTCTTCCTCCGTCAAGTTTGGGTGTTGCTAGAAGTGCCCCTGGCCCGAGGTGCCCCCAGCTTCTCGCTCCGTTTTGGAGCCCCTGGGGTCCTCTGGGCCTCGTGAGGGGTGCCCTGGAGGCCGCCTGGGTCACCCTGGGAATCCTGGGGGTACATTGGGCCAGGGGTTCTTCTAGCAACACCCGATCAAGCAGTCCAGGCTGGGACCTGCGACGCAGCTGGGAGGTCTCACCAACATCTCCGTGCCGAGCCGGGGGCAAAGCCCGTCTAGGTTGGTTCTCCCCGGCTCCGCCCTCGCCCGGCGGAGGGCGGCGGAGCACCCACCCAAATTACGCTGCTCCCATCGTACTTGAGGGCCACATCCCGAAGATAATTTCGAGCACCCAGAAGAGTGTCGACAGAGTGTCGAAACAGTGTCGAACGAGTGTCTCCCAGGGCCCGACACGTGAAAACCCTGGAGTTTCGGTATTTTTTCTCGTGTTCGAAATTCTTTCTGGTGCTCAAGGCTAGAGTAGGTTGGAACATCATAACCCCCGAAGAGGTCGCCCAGTGGAGGCCCAGAAGGGGGGGGGTCGAGCGGCCGAGTCGCCCGGCTGGGGGCTCCGCGCTTTGAGCGTCCTGGAACGTTTCGGCGGTGAGTCGGAGGATCGCGCCGCATCGCCGATACATCGACGATGCGGCTCGATGCGGAGCCCGATTTTCTCCAGCCCGACGTGGCCGATGCATCGCCGACGTCGCCGATGCATCGCCAGTGTATCGCCGATGCATCGCCGATGCATCGACGATGCATCGCCGACGCGGCGCGATCCTCCGACCCCATCTACTCCCACCCCATCTAGGAGGTCTCTTCCTTCGCAGGCCTAGAGGTTGACACCAACACCAAGATCGGCGGTGTTCCTCCACCGAGGGAAGAAGATCCCGATCTTGGTGATGGTGGTAATATTCTGGCTTCAAGGTGACCGAAACATTACCACCAACACCGATATCTAGGATCATCTCTCCCCTGTGGAGGCAGCCCCACTGTCTTGGTGTTTGTGCCTGCTTCCAGGCCTCCAACACCCCATCCAGGAGGTCTCTGCCTCTCCTCCATGCCATGCCGCGTCTCGCCCCGCCCCCCCCCCCGCCCGCCGCCTGGAGGCGCGAGGCGGCGAGCGGCCGCCGCGACGCCGTGGCCGACGAGTGGTTCTGCGACCGCTGCTGGGAGACCTCCCGCCGCGCCGGGGCTCTCCGCTCCCTCTTCTCCTCCTCCTCTTCCTTCTCCTCCTCTTCCTCCTCCTCCTCCTTCTCCTCCTCCTCCTCCTTTTCCTCCTCCTTTTCCTCCTCCTCCTCTTCCTCCTCCTGACAAGGAGGGTCAGGAGAGGAAACAGCACACAGACACAATTCATCCTCGATTCCTCAGAACATCTGGGAAGATATGGGAAGGGGGGGAAGGCAGAAGCCCCGAAAATATGGGAAGATATGGGGAACATTTTTATTCGTGTGTATTTTCCTGTGTGTCCTGGGGCCCCTTCACAGGGCTCACTCCGAGTGCTTCGATTCGATTCGGCTCGATTTCGATGAACTCCGATTCCGACTCGGTTCGGCTTCGGATTCCGATTTGGGGTCCGATTTCTCAATGGAGGCCTGTCGATTTCCGCCGATTCGACTTCTCCCGACTTGGCTGCCCATTTCCGCCGACCCGGTTCACTTCGATTGCCGATTCGACTTGTCGATTCGATTCTAAGCTCTCCTGCTCTTGCGACCGCTGCTGGGAGACCTCCCGCCCCCCCATTCTCGGTTCCCTCATCCCTATCCTTGGAGCCAGCTGGGGGTCTGAGGTGGCCCAGCAGTGGTCCCAGCCAGTAGGAGCGGGGGGTAGGCTCGAGGTTCGGGACATTTTTGTTGTCTTTTTTGCGCCCCTTGGGGCCGTTTTCGGGCTCTGGGAGCGTCAAAACGGATCCGGGATGAACAATTGCCCTGGATGGATGCGGGAGGGGTCTGGGGACCGATTCTGAGTGGATTTGGCTTCATCCCCGCCTCCAGACTGGCTTTCCCAGGCCCCAGCCTGTTCAATGAGCGAGCTAGCGATGCTAGGACTAGGAGCTGAGAGCTGAGAGCCGCCTCCGAAACGCAGTTCGGCTTCAGGGCCAAGCACAGCTCAACGGACGCCGTCTTCCTCATGCAGCGGTACATCGAGAGGGCATGGTCGACCAGGGACGGGTCGCTGTCCGCGATCCTCTTGGACTGGTCAAAGGCATTCGATCGAGTCGACCCGGCAGCGATGCACGTTGCTCTGGCGCGCTTTGGGTTGCCAGACCACTACTTAGCGATGATCTCTGCCATATACAACAACCGAGCGTTCGAGGTGCGGGATCGACAGGGCTCGTCCGCGGTCTACTCGCGAGGCACGGGCATTGCGCAAGGGTGCCCGCTAAGCCCATATCTGTTCATCATCGTTCTCACTGTGATAATGGCTGATGTAGACGAGGATGTTCGGGCGGCCCTCGGACCGGCGTCGCCGTCTGACACCAACGCCGGCATTGAGTACGCGGACGACACTGCTTTGATTTCAGACAACATCCCACGTCTGCAATACGTCTTGGAGAGATTGTTGCATCGAGCCGGCATGTATGGAGTGGAACCGAACTGGTCCAAACGGTCCACCTGCAGATCCGCCACAACGTGGATGTGGTCACGCCACAGGGCGCGCTGATCAAGCCGGTGAACAGCGCCATCTATCTAGGCAGTCATCTGAAGGCAGATGGGACTGCAGGGGCGTCCATCGCGCACAGGCTCGGCGAAACCACAGCTGCTTTCAAACAGTTGCAAAGTGTATGGAAACACGCGAACAATACGCGTGACAGGATGACTGAGATGTTCAATGCGTGCGTGGTGTCGAAGGTGATGTGCAGTTTGGAGACGCTTTGCCTCCGCCAAGCTGACAAGCAGAAGATCGATGCCTTCCAGGCATTGTGTCTCCGAAAGATTTACGGCGTGCCACATTCAATGATCTCGCACATACCGAATGCGGACGTTAGGCGGCAAGCCCGTCAGCACCGACTGAGCATTGTAGTATTGATGCGGCAACTGGTGGTCCACGGGCGGATCGCTTCCCAGCCAGACCAGTCTCCTCTACGAGCTGCTGTTCTGACACCGGGCTCGCCGGTGCCTTTGCGACCGGTTGGCGTTCGAGCGCGAGGGCGCCCTCGTCTGACGTGGGCGCCGGTTGTCGGGGAGCAGGCCAAGCTAGCGATGGCTTCTTGTCCTCGTCCCCTCCCGCCCCTTCCGCCCCCTCCTCTCCCGCCTCCCTCCCTCCCCTCGGACGAAACTTTTAAATGCTTTGTTCAGGCACCCTCGTTTTGCAGCGCATAGACAGCCAATCTGGACAGCAATTGTCAAACAATATGGCCTTTCCATTGACCCCATATTAGATTCGGTGTAATATACGATTGCCGCTTATCCTGCGGGGCAAGGATTTTTTCCCCTGCTGAGCCGATTTGTCGTGCGACATGGCTTGCGAACGAGCGAACGAACAACCTGTTCAAACCCCCGGCCGCCTCCAACCTTGTCCCTTCCTACGGCTTGCTGGACATGCTGCCAGCGAGTTGCTGCTTTCACTGTAGGTCGCGGTCGGGATGACCGCCACGACCATGACAACGTGAGAGGCTTTGGTCACACCGCGTTGGTCTCGGGGGCCCTTGAGAGGTGGGCCGTGTATGGGTGATGTTGAGTCGCACTGTGGCCGCCATGGGCTGGTCGTGGGCTGGGTCCGTCTTGGGTGGCCTCGGTGGCCTCTTGCTGACTTTTAGAGAGCCCTCGGGGTCGCTGGTGGCCCCAGGCGGCATCGTCTGGGGTCAACCAAGTGCAGCTCTTGAGCCAGTTCGCCACGCTGAGCGGCGCTCCGGCGCCACACCCGCAGCACCCTTGACGGTGCCCACGCGCGGGAGTGTTTGTGTCTGTCCGTGTCCCAGGAGTCTCCCAGAGGACTTGCGGGCCTCGGGGGGTCTGAGAGCAGCCGTGGGGCCATCTGCAGCCAACCCTATGCGGTCTTGGCCACCTTCTGTGGCGTCGTGCCACGTCTTGCGGCCATTACGGTTCCTTCCCGGAAGGTTCTGGGGAGCCTCGGGAGGCCGAGGGGCTGCCGGGTCCGCCGTCACAGGCAGGATATCTGATTCTGGATCGAGGGTTCGCAGGCCCCCTCCCAGATGGGATGGGCCGAAGGGTTCTACAGGCTCCCTCCCAGATGGTATGGGGGGGAAGACGACGATGCTGATGATGATGATGATGCTGATGATGATGCTGATGATGATGCTGCTACTGCTCATGATGATGACGATGATGATGATGATGCCGATGCTGTTGATGATGTTGATGATCGTGACGATGATGCTGATGAGGATGAATATGAGGATGAGGATGAGGATGAGGATGATGAGGATGAGGATGATGATGATGACGATGATGATGGTGATGATGATTATGCTACTGCTGCTGATGATGATTCTGCAGATGATGCTGATGATGATCTTGCTGATGATGATGCTGCTGATGATGACGATGACGATGACGATGAGGATGATGATGATGATGATGATGATGATGATGATGATGAGGTTGATGAGCCTGAGGATGAGGATGAGGATGATGATGGTGATGATGATGATGATGATGATAATGACGATGGTGATGATGATGATGATGATGATGATGATGATGAT